TTCAACCACAGGTAGCCCAATGCGTGACAACAGCGTCATCAGTCACCCCCAAACGAGGATTATACTCAAARAACTCACAGACGCCAGCGTCATGAAAATGTCAATTAATTTGCTGTATGTTGCGATAACACTCTTCAAAGTTAATGTTATCATTTCTTTTAAACTCACAATCCTGCATACCAACGACCTTCACTCAAGATTTGAAGAAACTGATGCATTTGGGGGACAATGCTTCACCAAAGATCGCATCGCTGGTAAATGTTATGGCGGAGTGGCTAGAAGAGCAACAATTGTTAAACAAATCAGACATCAAYAAGCGAATGTAGTTCTACTGGACGCTGGTGATGTCATGACTGGCACACTGTGGTATGATATTTACAAAGGAAACGCTACATGGACCATGATGAATGAACTGAAGTACGATGCTATGGTAGGTAYCACAGGAAGCCCACATAAGCATCAGACTGCGAGTGTAGCACCCTCCTTCGCAGTCGGTTTTAAGAACGGACAGCAAAGGAGGTTACTAGTGGAGCTGAATGTTGATATCGAAACATGCTGCTATTATTATGAGTTGTAATTGAGTATGTTTTGTGCCTGACAACGTGAAAGTAGTTATTTAGGTCTGTTACTAAAAAAGGCTTTTGCTCCTAGACACTTGGAAATCACGATTTTGATGACGGACCCGCAAACACAGCACGATTTCTAAAGCACCTAAACTTTTCCGTTGTGATGTCAAACGTAAACGCAAGTAAAGAACCTCTGTGGTCTGGACCTCTTTACGTGAATTACAAAGTTCTGGATGTTGGAGGTGAAATGGTTGGCATAATTGGTTATGTCCTCAGCTCTACACCCTAGTATGTAGTAACCCTAGTATGTAGTAACCCTAGTATGTAGTAACCCTAGTATGTAGTAACCCTAGTATGTAGTCAGTACTACAATATATATAATTACGGTTTGAATGAATAGTTTTCAGATTACAACCACCATAAATTGTCATTGGCAACGGCACGTGCTAGATTGTATTTGATTGAGACTTCCTCAATCCAAACAGAATTGAACTAATCCGAATTAAAAGAAAGCAGCTAGCTAACTATAAGGAAAGCTGTTTACCCTTTTTGAATAGGGGGAGGGGGACTGACACACTCGGGAAAAATATCAAACGTATAGATTTATGGCTAGATTTTCATATGAACGCTGCTTTAGTTTTTTTATTTATACTTAGTTTGCTGAATCAACCATGGATAATTAAAAAAAAATACAACCAACAAAGATCACTAGACATCACTAACCATGGCTGGAGGACTGACACACTCGGGAAAAATATCAAACGTATAGATTTATGGCTAGATTTTCATATGAACGCTGCTTTAGTTTTTTTATTTATACTTAGTTTGCTGAATCAACCATGGATAATTAAAAAAAAATACAACCAACAAAGATCTTTTAAAAAAGCTGCTTTAGTTTTTTGAAGAATGAGTCCCATTTCGATTTCATTTCTTCTTTTCTTTATATCATGTTTTTATTTCTATATTTTTCCACCTAAAAAGAGGTGCCTGGCCAACCTCACCACCCCTCTTCCTSTTGGTGCGGCCTATTATACATGTAAAACTGTTCTAACTTCCATGCATGACATGTTTTCTAGTGTTTCGAAACCTGGTCCTGGTCCAAATATACGCTTTCTTCGTGAGGTTATTTCTTTAAGGACAGCTGCTGATGAGCTTCGACGGAAAGGTATCAACAAGATAATTGCCGTAGGCCATTCTGGGATCGTGATGGACAAAAAAATTGCTGAACAAGTTGGTGGTGTGGATGTTGTAGTAGGAGGACACTCCAATACCTTCCTTTATTCTGGTAGGATATCATCTCGTACACTCCAATACCTTCCTTTATTCTGGTAGGATATCATCTCGTACACTCCAATACCTTCCTTTATTCTGGTAGGATATCATCTCGTGATAGCGGATCCGGGATTTGTTAGGTGTGGGTCGAGAGGGGGGTCTVCGTAATTGTCTTTGGCGAGGTAGATGTTTGACAATAACTTAATGTTAAAACCTTAAAACCCTTTCGTTCTTTCCTTTTAACTGGAATGAAGTTGTTATAGTCATGTTGATTTTTTCTGTAGATATTCGTTTAACAATTATTTGTTAAACGACTTTATGCAGCGACTTTATTTATTTATTTTTTTTTTCCTTTGGAAGTTTYSKA